TACAGAACATTACAGTTTTTATAACAAGGAATAAAAGATTTCTTACCACTGTACAGAACATTACAGTTTTTATAACAAGGAACAGAAGATTTTTATCACTAGATGAAACATTAAAGCTTATATTTTTATACCAAGAAAAAGGATTTTTTTTACCAATGGATCACCAACTGGAATGAAGACAAGTGACAACAATATCATGTACCCCTACATATTATGACTATTATTTAGTTCTATTATTACTACTCACCTGGCTTGTTCACAACCAGCTTTCCCTTCTTCTCCTAAGCTTGTGACTGAGACAGGTTGGCTAATCTCCAATACAGCAGCAGCTGTGGTTACTGTTTCTGTAACAACAATTTCTGGAAGCTCACTCTCAGCTGAAATAAAAATTGGGATACCCGTTGGAAAATTGAAACAATTTCTCTGTGTGGCCAAGTAAGAGGCAGTTTTTCTATTTTTTGATTAAATTCTGTAAAACTGATCGATATTCTGATATTAAAAAGTAGAACCAATTTACTACTCCTATTATGATATACTCACCAGGTGGAGAAACTTGTAGCGGTGTTGTTGGTACAGTACGTCCCCCACCTTCATCAAACTGGGAAAGATCCATACGAGTGTCATCAACCCCTAATGCTATGAAAAAGTTCAAACAAGACAATTCAAACTCTGGCAATGTAAGGAACCAGTTACAAGATAAACACTGAAATCATGAATACTAATCAACATACAGGTAAAATGTAACACTTAGTTAGTTATTTTGATACAGTGTTACATTTATTATGTATTATTATCTATTATTCTTTAGTCAAAAGTCCATATCTAACTTTTTTTATTTTCTATAAAAGATATAATAACATCACAGTTTCCGATAACAAAATAGAAAAATTATAGTAATAAAAAGAAAATTTCCTCAAAAACAAATATATATAACTGAGGTCTCAAACATGTAAATATACTCTTGACTATCAGTTGATAAATGAGGAAAACAACAGTGCTGACATTGACTCCACATCCAGTCAAACAGTTTAAACTTCTAACTCAACAGGATTAACCTAGTTATAAACTGAAATCTTACATTTCTGACAAATGAGGAAAACAACAATTGGCACTAAGATTAGTTCCAGTTTGAAAAATTACCTTCTTGAGTTGGCCATTAAGTAAAATAATAATTAGCACTAGGGTCCCCCTAGTTCCAATCTAAAAAATTACCTTCTTGAGTTGGCCATTAAGTAAAATAATAATTAGCACTAGGGTCCCCCTAGTTCCAATCTAAAAAATTACCTTCTTGAGTTGGCCATTTAGTAAAATAATAATTAGCACTAGGGTCCCCCTAGATCCAATCTAGAAAATCACCTTATGGTGTTGCCAACAAAGAAACACAAATATTAGAACTAGGATATCAAATCTGGTTCCAATATAAACCATTTTTGTGTTGACAACTGGGAAAAACAATAGTAGCAAAAGATCTTACTCGAATTCCAATCTGTAAACTTACCTTCCTGTGTTGCCAACTGAGAAACACCTAACTGCTGACTTTGTGAAGCTTCAGTAGCATTGTTGAAAACAAAACGAGCCTGAGGAACATGAGGAGAACTGACAGCTTCAGCAAACCCATCACCTCGCCGAGGAACAAACAAGGTTGGAGTACTTGGGACAATGCTATCATCTCCATCATCAAATGCAGAACCTTGACCCTATATTATATAGTAATTAAACAATTAACACACACACACACATATACTGCTAATGGAAAACAATAATTAATAATATAATGAATTTCAATCTGACAATAGCTCTTTCAATGATATATATATATATACCTTAACTTAAAATGTGAAGTGTGATAAAATTAAAAGTTGCTAAAATGTCACTCGTACAAAAATCAGCAAGATTAACTAGCTGTGAACTTAGAAGACCATTCTGAATTATCATCAGTTTATGGGACAACATGAGATAAATTATTACTGATATAATGATGTAAAAATTTATTTTTCAGTTTACCAAAATGTTTGTGTACCTCTCACTACTCGTGGGTTCCACATATTACTTTTACTGAATAGTTCATGTTTTCGCCTGTTACAACTTGTAGAACACCTAGAGACCCCAGCAATATTTAGTAGTTTACCAAAATGTTTGTGTACCTCTCCCTACTCGTGGGTTCCACGTATTACTTTTTACTGAACAGTTCATGTTTTCGCCTGTTATAACTTGTAGAACACCTAGAGACCCCAGCAATATTTAGCAGTTTACCAAAATGTTTGTGTACCTCTCACTACTCGTGGGTTCCACGTATTACTTTTTACTGAATAGTTCATGTTTTCGCCTGTTACAACTTGTGGAACACCTAGAGACCCCAGCAATATTTAGTAGTTTACCAAAATGTTTGTGTACCTCTCACTACTCGTGGGTTCCAAAAATTATATTTTACTGAATAGTTCATGTTTTCGCCTGTCACAACTTGTGGAACACCTAGAGACCCCAGCAATATTTAGTAGTTTACCAAAATGTTTGTGTACCTCTCACTACTTGTGGGTTCCACGTATTACTTTTTACTGAATAGTTCATGTTTTCGCTTGTTACAACTTGTGGAACACCTAGAGACCCCAGCAATATTTAGTGGGGGGTTACAATGTTTACAGTGTATAGGAAAGAGAAAGAGGAGGTTAATCAGGTACATGGCTCACCCAAATGAGAGAGAGAAAGATTAAAAATATTATATGGAACATTTTCAGCACTGTCTTGGGAAGGCAAAATTCCTAAACAAATCCCCCAACTCAGCACCTACCTGTGCCCTACTTATTAACCATGAAATCCATTTGAATTACTTTATTGGAGACAGGATCCCTAAAACTTAAACCATATTGTAAACATGTTAGAACGAAGTTTAATATATCACCGGTTATAGGAGGTAGATGTGGTAATTAAACCATATTGTAGGTGATATATTAAACTTCGTTCTAACATGTTAACCACATCTACCTCCTACGTAATTAAACCATATTGTAGGTGATATATTAAACTTCGTTCTAACATGTTAACCACACCTACCTCCTATGTAATTAAACCATATTGTAGGTGATATATTAAACTTCGTTCTAACATGTTAACCACACCTACCTCCTATGTAATTAAACCATATTGTAGGTGATATATTAAACTTCGTTCTAACATGTTAACCACACCTACCTCCTATGTAATTAAACCATATTGTAGGTGATATATTAAACT